TTATTATATGGTTTATTGTCCGAAGGTTCACTGGTCTGAAAGTTATTTAAAAAGAGGCAAAGTTGTCCTAAAATTTTGGGTCCTATGATCATTATTGCAAACATGGTAATGAACTGAAAAATAAGCGGTCAGTAAATATTAAAGTATCTATTAATTATATGCAGTAATTCAACTTTATCATCATCATAGTAATACAAAACTTTATTAAGCTTTAAATAAGACGCAATTCTAAATCTTCAGTGGATATACAGATCCGTTACTAAGTCCATGCCTTATAATGAGAGTTCTCAATACCACAACATATGTACAAAATTCATCACAAACAGTTACACTTTACCCAACTGGTTTGAAAATAGTTACAAAATTGGTCAATTCTTCAACATCACCACGATCACGGTTTTTCTTATGATCTAAACTAGAATGTTTTCCCGTAACGTCATTCGGTTGATGCTATAAGTCCCCTTGTGCATCTTGGAGCATTCTCATTCTCGCAGTCACGAAGCTCTGGCATAGAAATCAAAGCGACTTTTCACCGAATATTGAATTAAGTCGTTTAAATTGGATTCAATACTATATTCTGTCGTACGTGATGATATATTCAGGATAACACATTGTTTTCTCGTAAACAATAAACTCTCTGTACAACATATCTGAAACGTCTGCTATCACGGAGTCAAAGTGACTGGTGTGGTTGCATACGACTTGCATGCAGCCTTTAACAGTACAAGGAGGACGTGGAAATTGTTTCTTTTCACGTGTGAGATATGGTCGACCGATGCAGGCACGAACAAGGAACATTTTTATTCCTTTTGTTCCGCGGCAATCTTTATCTGAAAAATACAAAAATGTTATCAAAACTCAAGGTTGTAACATTTCGTTTCAGAACACAACTACTCAATTAGCACTTCCTCTTAATACATAAATATAAATTTCCCTTCAAAGTCTATTTAAGCTTGCCTCTCCGATGCTGTTGGCGGTTTCCTTCAAGACCAACTTGAATGTCAAAGTGTTAAAATTACAATACGTAATATCAGGATCAATTTTCCATCAGCCAGATTGCTTTTTTCATTTTTCACCATTAAAGGGAAAGTCCTATTTAAATGGTTTCATTAATACATTATTCATCTATAAGTATGATGGTACTTTGTTACAAAATGCGTTTTTGAATAACGATATAATAACACCGATTTGGCTGTTTATCTAAAGTTGTATACAAATGGCGGTCTTACTTAGTTTTCCATATTGGTCCGACTTCGAGGAATTTTCTGCAAGGTATATACCCTTCCCAAAGAGTCCCTCGTTTCCAATTCTAAAATCCAGTCCAGTGGCACATATTGTTTCAGCAATACCTGTGCTCGTCCCATGAAAAAAATAGTATTCATTCAGTTCATTTTTAAGGCGCGCATTTAAGATTCCNCCGGTGAAAAATCGAGAAAGGTGGTGTCAATGAGTGCAAACACCTGGGGTAATCATTCGCTATAGAGAACCACTGAAACTAGCACGTTGTTGTTACTGCCATATTGAGAGACATGCACCTGTTATATTTGCTTTCTTCAATTCACCTTGTATATAACCAAGGCAGGCTAGATGCTCCTTCAAAAATTAAACACCGGTGATGGAATTATGAAACGTCAGACGACTTTGTCTGCACCGAGCAAGCGTTTGGGTTTGCAAAGGTGGGGCACGAATTCATTGTTCACTGCTTACATTCCGATATGGTTTATTGTCCGAAGATTCACTGGTCTGAAAAATGTTTAAAAAGTGGCAAAGTTTTCCTAAAAATTTATGGTCCTGTGATCATTATTGCAAACATGGTAAGAACTGAAAAATAAGCGGTCAGTAAATATTAAAGTATCTATTAATGATATGCAGTGTTTCAACTTTATCATCATCATAGTAATACAAAATTTTATTAAGCTTTAAATAAGACGCATTTCTAAATCTTCAGTGGATATACAAATATATACGTTATTAAGTCCATGCCTTATAATGAGAGTTCTCAGTAACACAACATATGTACACAATTCATCATAAACAGTTACACTCTACGTAACTGGTTTTAAAATGCTTACGAAATTGGTCAAATCTTCATCATCACCACGATCATATGACTTAGTATGTCACAGAAAATACATAAACCCGCACCTTTGAGTACATGCACGCGTTTCATTTAAGGGAAGAAGTTTTACAAATATACTGCTCACTATTATCCGCCCTCCCACTAAAAGTAATGTATTAATTTTCCTTTTTCAATATTTTTGTAATCAAATATACAAGTGCAGATGCCCTTGATCTGTTCTGAAACTGCATATATAGAATCACCGTGTTCTACCATATATATTTTGTTGAACCAAATAAACACAAGCGAATGTCAATCCTACCATTAGTGATTATATCGTCTGCCCTCTTTAAGTAACGCCTTTTTGTAAACTAGACTTGTTGAAGCTCTACCTCTCCTTGTGCATCTTGGCGCATTCTCATTCTAGCAGAGTCAGGAAGCTCCGACATAGGAATCAAAGCGACTTTTCACCGAATATTAAGTCATTTAAATCGGATTCAATTCTATATTCTGTTGTAAGTGATGATATATTCAGGATAGCACATTGTTTTCTCGTAAATAATAAACTCCCTGTACAACATATTGGAAACGTCTGCTATCACGGAGTCAAAATGACTGGTGTGGGTACATAAGACTTGCATGCAGCCTTTAACAGTACAAGGAGGACGTGGAAACTGTTTCTTCTCACGTGTGAGATATGGTCGACCGATGCAGGCACGAACAAGGAACATTTTTATTCCTTTTCTTCCGCGGCATGTATCATCTGAAAAATACAAAAATGTTATTAAAACTCAAGGTTATAACATGTCGTTTCAGAACACAACTACCCAATTAGCTCTTGCTCTTAATACATAAATATAAATTTCCCTTCAAAGTCTATTTAAGCTTGCCTCCCCGATGCTGTTGGCGGTTTCCTTCAAGACCAACTTGAATGTCAAAGTGTTAAAATTACAATACGTAATATCAGGATCAATTTTCCATCAGCCAGATTGCTTTTTTCATTTGTCACCATTAAAGGGAAAGTCCTATTTAAATGGTTTCATTAATACATTATTCATCTATAAGTATGATGGTACTTTGTTACAAAATGCGTTTTTGAATAACGATATAATAACACCGATTTGGCTGTTTATCTAAAGTTGTATACAAATGGCGGTCTTACTTAGTTTTCCATATTGGTCCGACTTCGAGGAATTTTCTGCAAGGTATATACCCTTCCCAAAGAGTCCCTCGTTTCCAATTCTAAAATCCAGTCCAGTGGCACATATTGTTTCAGCAATACCTGTGCTCGTCCCATGAAAAAAATAGTATTCATTCAGTTCATTTTTAAGGCGCGCATTTAAGATTCTGGAAAGCTGGCACGTATAGGCGTGCATCCATGGCGCTCTACCAATGGGATTTCGTGCACATTTCCTGGATAAATCTTGTAATTTGCAAAAATATTGGCTCCACAGTCGGGGGTTCTCGACACGCTGAATCTTCGTTATTTTAAAATCAGTGTGATGTAGATCACTATTGTCTCTTCCGTGGATAAGCATTTTTTCTTTAGACCAAGACTCTCTCATCATATGATTGACCTCGTCCCAAATCTGGCCACTGACATCAACTGTCATGACACTTCCTTCCTCCCCTACAAGATGAGAAACAGGAATTTCATTTTCTTTGCGTATGTTTTTCTTGTGTAAAACAGATTTGAATCTTTTCTTTCCAAAAATGTTGATTCTTTAAATTTTTATTAAAAAAATTACTCAATTTAAACGCAGTGAAAAATAACAATAGTTTATGTAAAAGAGTACAGAATAAGAAAGATTTGTCAACACGTTACTTATGTTTATGTAAACAGAGCTTGTCTACAAAGAATAGAATAGATTAAGATGATAAAAATGGTACTTTTTTACCTGCGTATTTCTTAAAATCGTCTTGAAAATTGACCCAATAAACTGGAGCCTGTACTTCCATTTCCGTCACCTGATTCGCTTCATCTTGCTGTATTTTTCTTTTCTCCAAAAGCTTTTGTCGTTTTCTGGCCATTCGGAAGATTCTATAGATATCATAGATTAGACCTAAAACACAGGAGAACAGCAGCGGCAACATGGCATACACCTTGATATACGACGAACTGACGTCACCCGGGTTGTCAAGGAAGTAAACCAGTATCACTGACGACCAACCAAAACACCAGGTATCTGAGAATTCGGGGATAACTTTCAACAGTCTTCCTGGAATATAGAATCCATGATAAATGGACCTTTGAACCCAGTCTTTCCACGCTTCATGTAAAGTCATTTCACTCTTTAGCACATCATCTCTAACCCGAGGAAAAGTAAACAACAGGCCTTTAACACCATTACAAAAATAAAAAACGCTTGACTACAGGGCAGTTCTAGAAACAATAATTATTTTATTTCGACGTTATTCGTATACTTTGACAACTCACCATTGATGGCGACATACAGGAACAGTACCATCGCATAAAGGAAATAGGCACCAAAAACAAAAGCGAAGCCAACGGCAAATGGAAGGTCCGTGTTTATATCCTGCACTATGATTGTATAGATGGCAGCACTTATCTGGTGGACAATACCGTTGTCGTATGGGGAACTTGATATCATCAAACCCGCTCCAATTAGCCACAATAAGCTAAAGATGACGTATAGAAAACAGCAAATCAGCAAAAACTTTCTGTCTTTACACGGTTCTGATTCACGGCACTTGCAACATGCGCAGCAAAATGTTAAAAACATAATTGGTGCAGCAATCAGAATAAGGATTGTATGAGGTGTGAAGAGAATAGTAAAGCCAAAATCTGAATAGTCCCATATTCCGTCCAGCCACAGTGTGCCAAGAATCTTTGCCACTGATCCAGCGGGAAATCCAGCAAGAAGTGTATACGACAGATGAAAGCGCTTAACATCTGGAAATACAAAACCTTTGTCCTTGCTTTCCATCTTTTTCATATACAACACACATACGTGAATGGCTTGTGATACGTCATACAGGAGTAGTGGAATTAATGCATATGTTGCAGGAATCGCCAGCAATAGCCCCAAACATAAAGCACAAACGCCTGCCCATTTAAATATATCCACCAATAGAGGCCGCTCTATCTCCATGAGTATCTTTACAGACCACACGCACAAGTCTTCATCTTCTTCTATTTCCACTGATGTTTTGATGCCCATGGTTTTCTCCCTCGTCAAACCATCATATATTTTACTGTGTAATAGGAAACCTCTTAATTATATCCGATTGTAGAAATAATAAAAATGAGTGCATTAACTATTTAAGATAGTGACGAATGTTAATGTAGTGAACAATATTTTGTACATAAATGATACTCAAATGGATTAATGATTGAAATTTCAATAGCCCATTTTGTGAAGGGCTTATCATAAAAAACAGTGTCCAATATGCATCTCCTTTAACTTTAAAAACAGGAACTGGTTGTGATTACTTACTTTTTTTCTTTCCTGTAAACGTAAGTTTGGAGGCAGACACAGGCGAGTAAAACAAGCATTAGAGAAGATGCCGATACTGCAAAAGTAAAACATTCAAGGGTTGTAATGAATGTGTCTTTCCTTTTCAATACAAATTTAGAACACAAATTTATTTTTTTAAAACTGATTTCTAATGTAAAATGGGCTAATGTTTGTGTTCATTAAGATAGAAGCACAAGTGATTGTAGGAAAATATATTAATATATTTGCTAAGTGAGATGACGAGAAACCTCAAACTTTAAATGCGAAATGAGAATTCTTTGACAAGCTTAAACTAGTAAAATTCTTTTTATGGCGTGATTCATGCTTAAAACCGGTTTATTTCCCAGTATAAATGTCTCATCACACAGGGATATTTCATTTTCAGATTTTAACTGCTTTTTATTATAGACTGGATGTTTTACCTACAGAATCATAAGTAAACTAGGAAGTATCATCAGTATTCCCATTGCTTTACAACACAGGTAGTGAGAGGATCCCGACAGGATAAAAAGAAGACAGTAGTTTTATTTCAGTGCTGTATCAATTAGCCCAGCACGTAAGTTTTCCTATCCGATAAATGCGCCTTCTGGACGATGACTTTTAGGGATAAACCCGCCAGAATAGCTCGCAAGAGAACATGCGACATCGTTGTGTTTTTCCAAAACACTTGTTATTATATTCTAATTAGAATAAAAAAGGGGTTTATCAATTTTTTATTTGAACCTGTTAACTAATGAATACACTGCCAGCACAAAACCTCACAATTCAATATGCTTTAGCATTTACATCGAAAAAGCTGTCTCCAAAGTGAAAGAAGGCAAGATGTAGTGCGATATTGCGCACTTTGTACGTTTAAGTAGAGAGTTTTAAACAATAAAACTTAAAGTTCTGATTTAATTAGGCGGTGATAATTTGCTCTATTAAAGTTTTACAGATATTTATTAAAAGACGTAGTGGTTTGTGTCTATAGCAAACGGCCATTTTGAAATGACGAAATTTTGATTTATTCAAACTTCTTGTCTACAAAGACAGACTTTATTATCAAATCCTATATAAGTCAATAACTTGATGAATGCGTTGCATATCTCAAAGCCTGTTAGTCTAGATGACTGGTGAGAAAATTGCTCAAAAGGTGGAAAAAGCATGAAACTTGGCACAAATGTTCTTTGGACTATGCTGATCATTTTCAAGGGTAGTGCCCAAAATTTCAAAGCGTTGCTTAGCAACCGTTGCTAAGGAAGTGATTTACCTTAGTAAAAAGCTAATTGGACCTTTCTTGTTCAGTTTAAACGATTTAAAAAGACTTTTAATAATGTTTCAGCCATCAGAACTATCACTATACTATTTTAAGGCATTAAAAACCCAAGTAAACCATTGCAACAGTTGCTAGGCAGCATATTACCCTAGCAACAAGTATTTAACATTATATATTTAATAATATATATACAGATATCTCTGTAGCATTTTACATACCCCCCAGTTCCTTCTGTTCCCAGATCTTTCTGTTCCCATTCTACATATACTAACATGTTTCTTAATTATTAAGATAGGTACATAAATAGTGTATGCTTGCACAAGCCCAAATACAAATATCTCCGGAGATCTATCAATGACCACACCTAAATTATCTTTAGCGGGGCAAATGATGCACATCCAAACATTTTTTACATGTGGACATTCCCAAAAAACGTACAGAATATTTCCCCTAGCAGTATTGCAAAATTCTCAAATTCATAAGATAAGCATAAGTATTGAATATTCTATGATTTATTCTGAATTGGAGCAACTTCATTTTCTTGTGATCTGTTTCTTAAATGTTAGTTCCCAATTATCAGTACTCAAGGTTTTTTAAAAATATGTCTGCCATTCACCTACACCTTTATCTGGTGATATTTTATGACTTTGGAGGATTTTTTTGTGAAAAAATATCTGGATGGTTTGGAAACTTGTTTAATTGAGTCAATTATTTCTTGGATTGCTATGCTCAATTTACTTCCATGGGAAGAGATAGCCATTCAGATGGTTAGCTCTTCTGGATGCTGAATTAGCCTAGAAAGTTAGTGTTAAGGTTGATTTTATGTTGAGTTCCTCTAGACAGAGGGGATTTCAAATGTCATTTATAATATCATTGATGTAAAAAAAAACATTTTTACACCATCTTTTATGGAAAATAGTTTTTGCAATTTCTTTCAATTTTTGAGTTTTGACATAATGGTTGTGAAAGGATTTCATCTGGGGTTAAATTGAAATTTTCCTGAATTTCACTCAAGGAACCAATCTTTGCCAAAAAGGATAAGAAGTTGCTTTTAGTATTTTTAATCCACCTTTTGTGATGATAATGATGATTTATTTATTCTTTGTAGTTTAAGGCCTCTGGCCAACAATACATTACAATCTGTATAAACACAGATGACATATACAATCAAGGCTTTACATACAGAAATAAATTATGAATACACCATACATATACAATTATTTCATTTACATATCTGGAAGGTTAACATTGTTATCTACTATTTTACTTCTTAGAGTAAAGGCGTTCAATAAAAATCTAGCCAGTGAGAAAATACTCTCTTCGTTCTCGTCAGACATTATAGTTGTAAACAAATGTTTATTTGGAAAGCGGGATGTCCATTCAGTTCTAAAGTATTTCATTCTGAATTCATCGTACAAGGGGCATAAAAGTAAAAAATGCATTTCGTCTTCTACTGTGTGAATGCCTAGTCTGAGACATAAAGGGCAAAACCTTTGATCTCTGTCGATTTTAGTATAACGGCCTCTTTCGATCATGTTACTACCAATTCCTGACATTTCGCCGACAAAAATGCTCTCCACTTACTCTTATTTTCTTCATAAAGAAGTCTTTAAGCCATGTAAAGTTTAGGGCCTTAGTAAAATTTTTATTTGCGGTACCTTGAGGGAGGGGGGGCTGGTAGGAGAGCTTATACGTGCACAACGTAAGATGAGAAATACTATAGGTTTAACCACTGTTGACTTTCCTATTATTGAAAGGTTTCTCAGAGACCAGATTTCCAAGATATTTTTCATTTTGTTCAATATTTTCTAAAAAGTTTTTTCACATTGTATTTTGTCAGTTTCTATTCTCTACCAAGTACCTTAAGTACACCTGCATGGTTCTATTTTAATTCTTTTTGTTAATCAATGAAGTTCAAAAGTTTCTGTTCACACCCAAAGGCTGTTAGATGCCATATCTCACTTCCACCAAGGCTGCTCTACAACAATATAAGAGTATTCTTGCGAGATGAACATATCTGAATCAGCAATACGGTGCCATGTTATCGGATACCATGTGCTCACTCTGGTTGGACTTGTGCGGAACAGTGGACCCTTGAGGACACATTTGCCAGAAGCTATTCACCTGCCCAGAGTTGCTCCAGTGTGCATGTAAGTGCAAATGTAGAGGCTGACAATGTGCAAGGGCAAAATGCACTGTATATTGCACATACAAGGGAGAATTTAACGTCTTAACTATTGCAAAGTTTTATAAAGAGTCGTAAAATGATTAAAGCATGGAAATGGCTGGTTACTAACTTTGAACAGGCTGCCTTAAGTATCTGCACTGGCAATGTTTTTGATCGGATGTGTGTAAACATCACACAATTGTTTCAACTTACTGGATTAAAAGTATGTACATCTTGCTCAAAAGTGTAGTTCTTATAGCTAGTATTATAGATTTGCCTTACTTAATAGACTAACGCAACTTTTAATGCTTGTTGCTAGGGTAATATGCTGCCTAGCAATCGTAGCTAAGGTTAATTTGGGTTTTAATTGCCTTTAAATAGTCAAGTGACAGTTCTGATGCCCTGAAATATAGTTATTAGCATTTCTAAACAATTTAAACTGGACAAGAAAGGTCTAATTAGTTTGTTACTAAGGAAATTCACTTCCATAGCAACGGTTGCTAAGCAACGCTTTGAAATTTTGGGCACTGCCCTTGAAAATGATCCGTATAGACAAAAGAACATTTGTGCCAAGTTTCATGCTTTTTCCACATTTTGAGCAATTTGGCCAAAATATAGCACCAGTCATCCAGACTATGTGAAATGAGGACATTTTCTGACCAGAGGAGATACCCTTATCATTGATCGCGGCGTCGCTTATAAACCCCAAATGTCTTAAACAGCCACATGCAGCTTAGTGTTCAGGTAATAATAAAGCTCACTGTATCAAAGCGTACCTGTAACTAATGATCAAAAATAATGCGTACTCTATAGTTGACAAAAATCTCCTGTCCGCTGATAAAAACAATTCCACAATATCACTGGGTTCTTACAAATATTAACAGTTTATTTGTACCGAATATTCAGTTTAACGGTTTAACAATTAAAATTAAACCTACCTGACCAGTAGATAGTTGTGTAAGTTTCCAAAGAGTAATTGGAATAATTCGCGGTAGGTACGGGTGAATGGACGTGTCCGAGATCGGTGGTTGTGAAATAACTGTCAGTGGTAGTTTCACTACTCGACCATGTTGACAACGTCGTAATGTTGCCTAATAGGGTCCCGTTGGTTGCATTCGCCATGATGCAGGGAAGGTATGCAAGAGCGCAGAGTCCGGTTTTGTCACAAGGGGCCCTAGATAACGGAAAGGTAGACGCAGATCCTCCGCTTTACAGGGTTTACTAGCTTCGTGCTGCCAAGGTGNACATCTTGCTCAAAAGTGTAGTTCTTATAGCTAGTATTATAGATTTGCCTTACTTAATAGACTAACGCAACTTTTAATGCTTGTTGCTAGGGTAATATGCTGCCTAGCAATCGTAGCTAAGGTTAATTTGGGTTTTAATTGCCTTTAAATAGTCAAGTGACAGTTCTGATGCCCTGAAATATAGTTATTAGCATTTCTAAACAATTTAAACTGGACAAGAAAGGTCTAATTAGCTTGTTACTAAGGAAATTCACTTCCATAGCAACGGTTGCTAAGCAACGCTTTGAAATTTTGGGCACTGCCCTTGAAAATGATCCGTATAGACAAAAGAACATTTGTGCCAAGTTTCATGCTTTTTCCACATTTTGAGCAATTTGGCCAAAATATAGCACCAGTCATCCAGACTATGTGAAATGAGGACATTTTCTGACCAGAGGAGATACCCTTATCATTGATCGCGGCGTCGCTTATAAACCCCAAATGTCTTAAACAGCCCCATGCAGCTTAGTGTTCAGGTAATAATAAAGCTCACTGTATCAAAGCGTACCTGTAACTAATGATCAAAAATAATGCGTACTCTATAGTTGACAAAAATCTCCTGTCCGCTGATAAAAACAATTCCACAATATCACTGGGTTCTTACAAATATTAACAGTTTATTTGTACCGAATATTCAATTTAACGGTTTAACAATTAAAATTAAACCTACCTGACCAGTAGATAGTTGTGTAAGTTTCCAAAGAGTAATTGGAATAATTCGCGGTAGGTACGGGTGAATGGACGTGTCCGAGATCGGTGGTTGTGAAATAACTGTCAGTGGTAGTTTCACTACTCGACCATGTTGACAACGTCGTAATGTTGCCTAATAGGGTCCCGTTGGTTGCATTCGCCATGATGCAGGGAAGGTATGCAAGAGCGCAGAGTCCGGTTTTGTCACAAGGGGCCCTAGATAACGGAAAGGTAGACGCAGATCCTCCGCTTTACAGGGTTTACTAGCTTCGTGCTGCCAAGGTGACACCCCAATGCAGCTGAATTGGGACTGTCAAAATTAATAGCGTCACGACTGCAGCTATCCAGGATGATCACAGCGCGTAGGTAAAGTCAACATGTTTTCGTATCTAGTTTCCTTGGCTAGCTTGATTAACGTGTTTTCTTGGGTCACAGTTATCTCGCCGCATAATAACGTTTTTGATTTCGTAAAATGCTACGTGGTTCTTAACTTGAGTAAATAACCTCTTTTCTCCTTTGGATTTGTGTTCAGTGTTTTGGCAAACCTTCTAAAAACTTTTACCGGTCATATTCTTTCCGAATTATTTTAGTAATAAGCCCTTTTTCTTTTCAGTCATGTGAAATACATCGATCTGTATAGTTACCAGGGGCGGATTTACATGTAGGCCGTCTTCTGGGTCTCTTTTCAAGATTTTATATAGACGGGTATCTAACTTTTTCTGTCGGAAGACGGTCAAAAATGGGGATGGCTCAACAAAGATAATTTGGAAGACTGTCAGAAAAAGTAGAGCGCTGGCTGCCGACGCTTTATTGGTCTTTCCAAGAATATAACAATTGATTACTAAATATAGTTAAATTAGAAGAGGACACACACGCTAAATATGACATTCGACAAAACCGGGAATGGAGATTATAAATTGCAGTAGTGTACAAAAAGATGCATGCATTGCAAAATGTATTAAACGGAGGAACATTTCAACAAAATACATGTATGTGTATTACATGTACATCTGTTATTTAAGTAAGTTAAAACTATGAGAAAATACATCAATCAACCTGAATGTTAGTGCTTTGCTATACTTTCTCGTTTTATCAAAAGACTTTCAACATTTGTGAAACTTTCTCCGTTTGGGTTACTTCTGGTGGGATATAGTAAGCTATATTTGGTATATGATCTCACGTGACTGCTACGAAACCGTATGACGTTGTCTGTCCTTCGAGGTACTGACTTAACCAGTTTGTAAATGTATCTCTGCCTAAGATCTATTTGTTAATTAATTAGACTGTATAAAATGACATTTGAAATAGATATTCAAAGGTGCTTTTAGTGAGGCACCCTTACAATGTATGAACGCCTCGTGTCGTATACCCGCGGATGGTGTTTATCTCAGACACCTAGGGTATGGTGCAGTGCAACAAGTCGGCATTTTAGCCTGTCAACGGATCATCAAAAATGACAAAAAAAAGTAATTGGTACGGCAAAAAAAGGTGGTCTCACGCCCGACAAAAAGGGGCAGCCAATTTTCAAGTGACCCCTTAAGGGTTCCCCAGGATTCATCCGTTACGTTATAGATCATGATGCCTGAACGCACAAGGGCACGTAACGCAAGAGCACGTGACGCAAGGGCACGTGACGCATGGTTTCCTATGTCCAGACTGTGGTTTTCGTACGCAATTCCGTATGATCATCAAACTGGAAGAATAAGACCCCTTTCCCATAGATTTTAGATCGATCTATCCCCCTGGGGAGTCTCAATAGATTGGTGTCAGCTTAACGGGCTTAAATGTCTGTACCGCCTACTAAAAGCTGTAAAAAGCTGCAATTAAGCGTGAACCACCAGGGAGTTAGGTCGATCTAAATCTAAATCTCTGGATCGATCTAAATCTCAGGGAATGCACCCTTAGACAACGACATCGAACATTTAAAACGAACATTGGGAATTACACAGGAAATTGTCTAACCCTGGTATTTTTTAATTTTATTTTTTAACCACTTTTTAAAGTGAATTTAAAAATTAAAGAAGAAATCTAAAACTGACAGAAAAGAGTATATAGGCCTATCTCAGTTGTATCAGGCTGAACTCAATGGAATTAATTTTTTTGCAGCAGATTTGGAAGTCTTTGGTTATAAGCCATGGTCTAAGCCTGAAAACCGCCTTTAAATCAACAACACATGTATAGTACAATGTATATACAATGTACCACAATATCTTTCTTGTTTTCAGTAAAATTATTATTATTATTATTATTATTATTACACAGGAAATTGTCTAACCCTGGTATTTTTTAATTTTATTTTTTAACCACCTTTAAAAGTGAATTTAAAGATTAAAGAAGAAATCTAAAACTGACAGAAAAGAGTATATTGGCCTATCTCAGTTGTATCAGGCTGAACTCAATGGAATTAAATTTTTTTGCAGCAGATTTGGAAGTCTTTGGTTATAAGCCATGGTCTAAGCCTGAAAACCGCCTTTAAATCAACAACACATGTATAGTACAATGTATATACAATGTAGCACAATATCTTTCTTGTTTTCAGTAAAATTATTATTATTATTATTTTCTTTTTTGTACAAAGGCTGAAATAATGCTCAGACACTAAAATGTAACCCCTATATCCAGGCATTTTAAATTTATTGTCACAGGCACCATATGAAAATGAACACCTTAATGATGCAACCACTTTTTTGTTTGTCTGTGATTTAATTATAGAAGTATTCTTAGACTATTATAGTCTTAGGCAATGAATTCCGAAAGACAGAGGTTTTTAATACTTCGATAAACTTTTCAATTTTTATGAACCGTCCGCACCCTTAGTTCTAGTGTATAACATTTTCAAACGACCGGTATGTATCAACTTACGTTAACAATCGGACTTTATTGAAAAGTTACAATACGTTCGAGAATATAGCCCCAGATCTGTTGGGGATCAGCTGCTTATCTTCAAATTTCAACATTTCCCTGCTTATCTGCCCATCAAGGGTTACAGACCCACAGTTGCTAGTCTAAGGGACTCTAGATACAAAACGTTTAAAACCACGAGGCAAAGCAAGGGAAAAAGATAAACCAGAATTTGCAGGTTGAGGGAAGAATCTTTCTAGGCATGGACTACCGATGCTGTAAGCGAAAACATAAAAATACATGTTTATTTGACTCAATTAATCCGCTATGCTCTTCTTTCAGTCCAAAACCAAATAAAAACACCCGCCAAGCAACCTGTCGTGATAAACACTGGTAGCTGAGAGCAAATCTATGGTATGGTACAAGTTCGAGTCATTGGCTCTACATCGCAAAGATGTAGAATCCTTTAAAAATATTTGGATTCAGATCACCAACAAAATCTTATCGTTTTTAAGTTAACACATTTGTGACCTATTCTGAACAAGTCTATTTTCATGAAAATTTATCTGTAGCTTTTTGAGCTGGTATCTGGTAGCAGACAAACGGAGGTGAAAATATAGCCTCCTTGGGGGAGCGCTATGAAATTTTGTACAGTACACATTGCGGTAGCTGGGAATGCACACGTTATCAGTGGCACATTGATAGTAGCATGGTGCATTCACTTTGACATGTCCATAAAGCGGCACGGTACATATTTAGAAATTTAATTAGTAATGTTGCGTCATTAAAATGCTTTAATATCATATACTTGTATAGTGTATTGTATAGGCTACTTCGAAATAAAAGAAAAAGAACTCGAACATATGACAGCTTTTATAGCTACGGGGTAAATAACCTTTAAGTGGGCGGGGAAAGGCTAACCATTCCAAAAAAAAAGGTTGGGGCAGTGGGTGAAATATTTGGACATGGTCGTCGGCCCGTGGTATCGATGAACTCATCTTTGGTATTTCCATGGCTGTAATGTAATTTTTATTTTGCCTTAAGCTTCATTAATTAGCTTCATTTTTAAAAGAAAATTATATATAAACATTCGTTTTTTTTATTCTACCCTAATTTTTATCCTTTCTTACTTCTAGTTTTATAAATGTTTTTTAATGTTTAATGCCACTGTTATCAGACAGATGATATTCGGGCAGAAACACACCTCACAGCCACAAAAAGGCTTTTTTTTTCACAGTCAAAGATATGCAGTATAGTTACATTTGATCATGTAGTAATTACATATACTAGAGCAGAGTAAAAAAAAAAAAAAACAGGGCCCCGTAACTGGAAAGCATCGGGCATTGCGAATAACGATATCACATAGAGGCCGCAGTGTATTATATGTGTCGAGTACTTGTTGCGGATCCCACGCCAAACGAACACAAACAACGGGAAAATGTTCACACCTTTATTCACGCACATACACTGACATGGACATGGTGATACTAAAATAACAAAATAATGAAATATAAACACCAAACTGATTATATAAAAATACACAAATATAATATAAACTGAATACAAATATAAAAAGAAATAATTAATTTTAATTAATTAATTAAATATAATTAAAATTATAAGAAACTGGAAATGTTGTGCATACTATAAATTTGGCTAGACAAAAACGACTTACGCTTTTACATATACATTGTGCAAATAGTTAACAATACGTACAGAGAAATGTGGCTTTTCCCGCCCGATGGTGATCCACAGATTTTGCCGAAGTGACTACACAAAATCTTGATACTTGGCGACCTGAGCCTTCTGCTCGTCAAATACAAACGTGGCCGCGCCCAGAACTACTGCTGGCCGTATATATACTGAGCAAATCATTTGCATAACAAAACAAAGATGACTACTGATACGACCGTAATTGCAACTTGTTGTCGTAAGCGACAACAGGGCTAGTTATGGAATCGAGACGCTTGCGCTCGGTCGCAATGCGCGATGCTTTTGAGTTACGGGGTCCAGGAGGAGCAGAACAATTTAAATGCAATGATGATGAAATGAACAACTTAATTGATGTCAATTGACCTGTTTTGGTTGCCACTTGTCAATCATTCGGTGAAAAATCGAGAGGTGGTGTCAATGAGTGCAGACACCTGGGGTAATCATTCGCTATAGAGAACCAATGAAACTAGCAATTTGTTGTTACTGCCATATTGCGAGCCATGCACCTGTTATATTTGCTTTCTTCAATGCACCTTGTATAACCACCTTGTATTTCCCCTAACGTCATTCGGTTGAGGCTATACGTCCCCTTGTGCATCTTGGCGCATTCTCATTCTCGCAGTCACGAAGCTCTGGCATAGAAATCAAAGGGACTTTTCACCGAATATTGAATTAAGTCGTTTAAATTGGATTCAATACTATATTCTGTCGTACGTGATGATATATTCAGGATAACACATTGTTTTCTCGTAAATAATAAACTCTCTGTACAACATATTGGAAACGTCTGCTATCACGGAATCAAAGTGACTGGTATGGTTGCATACGACTTGCATGCAGCCTTTCTCAGTACAAGGAGGCCGTGGAAATTGTTTCTTTTCACGTGTGAGATATGGTCGACCGATGCAGGCACGAACGAGGAACATTTTTAATCCTTTTGTTCCGCGGTCTGTCGCACCTGAAAAATACAAAAAGGGTTAATATAATCTCAAGGTTTTAACATTTCATATCAGAGCACAATTACTCAGTTTGCTCTTCCTCTCCACATATAAATATACATATCAGCTCAAAATACCCAAGTCTATTTGAGGTTGCCTCTCCGATGCTTGTGACGGCTTGCTATATAGATAGATAAATAATATTATTCCAACGTGAGCAGAAAGTAGAAGGTATTTTACAAGCCCAGAAAATAAATACTATTTATACAATCAGCGTAACAAGACCAGTGGAAATGTCAAAATGTTTATTTTATTATGTACGTAAGATCAGGATCAATTTTCACTCAGCCACATCAAAGCTTTTAGTTACTTGTCACCATCAAAAGGCAATTCCTGTTTAAATGGTTTTGTCAATGCATATTTCAGTTATTCGTATGACGTAATTTCATTACAAAATATAATTTTAAACAACAATATAGGGTCACCTATTTTCTATTAAAGTTGTAGGAAATGGCGGTCTTACTTAGCCATGCATACTGGTCCGACTTCGAGGAATTTTCTGCAAGGTAAATGCCCTTTCCAAAGAGTCCCTCGTTTCCAATCCTAAAATCCAGCCCAGTGGCACATATTGTTTCAGCAACATTTGTGTTTGTCCCGTGAAAAAAATAGTATTCATTCAGTTCATTTCGAAGACGCTCATTTAAGATACCGGAAAGCTGGTCCGTATATGCGTGCATCCACGGCGCTCTGTCAATAGGATTTCGTGCACATTTCCTGGATAAATCTTGTAATTTGCAAAAATACTGGCTCCATAGCCGAGGGTTCTCGACGCGCTCTACCTTCGTTATCCTAAAATCGGTGTGATGTAAACCAACGCTGTCTCTTCCGTGGATAAGCATTTTTTCTTTAGACCAAGACTCTTTCATCATATGTTTGACCTCTTTCCGTATTTGGCCGCCGATTTCAACTGTCATGACCCCTCCCTCCTCCCCTACAAGATGACGAACATGATTTTGATACTCTATGAAAATGTTTGTGTTCTTATGTATAATTGATTCTTTCTTTAAAAATGTAAATTTGATTTACGCAATTTAAACGTAGTGAAAAATGCAATAGTGTATATTAGGGAGGACATGGGATATGAAACTTTGCAATTCGTTACTTATATTTATGTAAACAGGGAATGCCTAGAAAGAATACAGCAGTTCTAGATGGTAAAAAAATAGTTCCCTTACCTGCACATTTCTTAAAATCATCCTGAAAATTAACCCAATAATCTGGTGCTTGTACTTCCATTTCTGTCACTTGATTCGCTTCATCTTGCTGTATCTTTCTTTTCTCCAAAAGCTTTTGACGTTTTCTGGCCATACGGAAGATTCTATAGACATCATACGTTAGACCTATAAGGCACGAGAACAGCAACGGTAACATGGCATACACCTTGATAGACAACGAACTGACGTCACCCGGGTTGTCAAGGAAGTAAACCAGTATCACTGACGACCAACCAAAACACCAGGCATCTGAGAACTCAGGAATAACTTTCAACAGTCTTCCTGGAATATACAATCCATGGATAAATGATGAATGTATTTTAATCCAGTTATCCACACTTCATGTAAAGTTCATTTCACTGTTCAGCTCATCATCTCTAACTCTAGGAAAAATAAACAACATGCTTAAATCGCCATTACAAAAATAAAAAACGCTTGTATAAGGCTGCTCTAGAAACAATAATTATATACTTTGACAACTTACCATTGTTGGCTACATACAGGAACAGTGTCATCGCATAAAGGAAGAAGGCACCAAAAACAAAGGCGAAGCCAAGAGCCCATGGAAGGTTCATGTTTATAGCCTGCACTATGATTGTATAGATGGCAGCACTTATCTGATGGACAATACCATGTATGTCGTATGGGGAACTTGATATCATCAAAACCGCTCCAACAAGCCACAATAAGCTAAAGATGACATATAGCAAACAGCAAATCAGCAAAAACTTTCTGTCTTTACACGGTTCTGATTCACTGCACTTGCAGCATGCGCAGCAAAATGTTAAAAACACAATTGGTGCAGCAATAAAAATAAGGATTGTATGAGGTGCGAAGAGAATAGTAAAGCCAAAATCTGAATAGCCCCAACTGTCCCATATTCCGTCCAGCCACAGTGTGCCAAGAATCTTTGCCACTGATCCAGCGGGAAATCCAGCAAGAAGTGTATACGAAAGATGAACGCGTTTAACATCTTGAAATACAGCATCTTTGTCCTTGTTTTCCATCTTTTTCACATACAACACACATACGTGAATGGCTTGTGATACGTCATACAGGAGTAGCGGAATTAATGCATATCTTGCAGGAATCGCCAGCAATAGCCCCAGACATAAAGCACAAACGCCTGCCCATTTAAATATATCCACCAATAGAGGCCGCTCTATCTCCACGAGTATCTTTGCAGACCACACGCACAAGTCTTCATCTTCTTCTATTTCAACTGATGTTTTGATGGCCATGGTTTTCTCCCTCGTCAAACCAGCATATATTTTACTATGTAATAGAAAAGCTGTCAAATATATCCAATTGTAGACGTTCACAATAAAAATGAAAGCATTTAACTACCGGCTAGTATTTGAGATGGTGACGAATGTTAATGTAGTACACAATGTTCTGTACATGAATAATACCCAAAAAGATCTTTAAAAGCAGAAGCTAGTTATAATTACTTACTTTTTTCCTTTCCTGTAAACGTAAGTTTGGAGGCAGATACAGGCAAGTAAAACGAGCATTAGGGAAGATGCTGATACTGCAAAAGCAAAACATATTCAAGGGTAGTAATGAATCTATTTTTCCATTTCAATACAAATTTAGAACACAAATTTATTTTCAAACAATAATTCCTTATGTAAAATAGGCTAATGTTTGTGTTAATTAAGATAGAAGCACAAGTGATGGTAGAAAAATATATCAATATATTTCCTGGATGAGATAACAAGAAACCTCAGTCACGTTTCAAAATGAAAAAAGGCTTTAAATGCAAAATGAGAATTCTTTGACAAGCCTAAACTAGTATAATTCTTTTTATGACGTAATTCATCCTTAAAAATCGTTTATAAATGTCTTGCCACAAAGGGACACTGCATTTCCAGATTTTAATAGCCCTTTATCATAGCCAGTATGATTAACTTTCAGAATCATAACTAGGAAGCCTCATCAGTATTTCCTTTGCTTTACAGCACAGGTAGTGAGAGGCTCCCGACAGGATAAAAAAGACAGGAGTTTTATTTCAGTGCGGAATCAACTAGACCAGCAGGTAAGCCACGTTAAGTCCCCCTTTCGGATACATATGCCTTTTGGCGACGACTTCAGACGATAAAATAGTTTTTGTACTGTGCAAAATGTGGAACAAACCGTCAAAAAAGCTCGCAAGAGAACATACGACATCGTTGTGTTTTTCCCCAAACACTTATTGTATTCTAATTAGAATGAAAAGGGTTTATCGATGTTTTATTTGAAACTATTAACTAATGAATACACTGCCAGCACAGTTAACCGGCAAGGTAACCAATGGCAATGAAAAATAATATTGACACAGCACTTATCAAAATCTCACAAATCAATATGCTAGCATTAACATCGAAAAGCTGTCTCAAAAGTGAAAGTAGGCAAGGTGTAGTGCGATATTGCGCATTTTGTACGTTTTAGTAGAGAGTTTTGAAAAATAAAACTTAAAGTTCTGATTTAATTAGGCGGTGATGATTTTGCTCTATAAAGTTTTACGGATATTTAGTTAAAAGACATCTAGTGGTTTGTGTCTATAGAAAACGACCATTTTGAAATGACGAAGTTTTGATTAGTTCAACCTTCTTGTCTACAAAGACAGGCTGTATACGACAGATAGGCCTACCCCAAATATTATTATCAAATCTTATATAACAAGTCGATGAACGTGTTGCATATTTCAAAGCCTGTGAAGCGAAGACATTTTCTGACCAGAAGAGGTAGAGATACCCTTATCATTGATCGCGACATCGCTTATAAATCCCAAATGTCTTAAACAGCCCCATGCCGCTTTGTGTTCAGGAAATAAGAAAGCTCACTGTATCAAAGCGTACCTGTAACTAATGACCCGATCAAAAATAATGTGTGCTCTATAGTTGACAAAAATCTCCTGTCCGATGATAAAAACAATTCCACTATATCACTGGGTTCTTACGAATATTTACAGTTAATTTGTACCGTATATTCATTTTAACGGTTTAACAATTAAAGTTAACCTACCTGACCAGTAGATAGTTGTGTAAGTTTCCAAAGAGTACTTGGAATAATTCATGGTTGGGACAAGTAAATGGATGTCCCCGAGACCGGTTGTTGTGAAATAACTGTCAGTGGTAGTTTCACTAATCGACCAAGTTGACAACGTCGTAACGCTGTCTACTAAGGTCCTGTTTGTACCGTTTGTCCCGTTTGTTGTTGAATTCGCCATGATGCAGTGTCGAGAGACCCGGTTTTGTCAGATGGGGCCCTAGATAACGGAAAGGTAAACTCAGATCCTCCGCTTTACAGGGTTAACTGGCGTCATGTTGCCAAGGTGACACATCTCTGCAGTTGAGATAGTCAAAATTAATAGCGTCACGACTGCAGCTATCGAGGATGATCACTGCACGTAGATAAAATCAATCTGTTTTTGTATCTAGTTTCCTTGGCTACCTTGATTAACGTGTTTTGTTGGGTCACTGTTATCTCGACGTATAGATAACGTTTTTGGTTTCGTAAAATGCTAAACTTGAGTAAATAATCTCTTTTCTCCTTTGGAATTGTGTTCAGTGTTTTGGCAAACCTTCTAAAAACTTTTACTGGTCATATTCTTTCCGAACTAATTTAGTGATATGCCCTATTTCTTTTCAGTCATTTGAAATACATCGATCTGTATAGTTACCGTTGATGCACAAACAAAATAGAGCAATGGCTGCCAACGCTTTACTGGTCTCTACAAGAATATAACAATTGATTGCTAAATATGGTTAAAGTAGGAGAGGACACAAACGCTAAAAATGGCATTCGACAAAACCGGGAATGGAGTTAATCATTTGCAGTTACAAGTACAATTAGATGCATGCATTGCAAAATGTATGAAACCAAAAATTAGTGCGTAAAATGATGTAGCATTTTAACAAAATACTGTATATGTATTACATGTGCATCTGTGGTTTAAATAAGTTGAAAATTTGATAAAATACATAAGTCAACCTGCATATTAATGCTTTGCTATACTTTCTGGTTTTAACAAAAGACTTTCAACATTTGTGAAACTTTCTCCATTTGTATTACTTCTGGTGAGTAATAATATATTTGGTATATGATCTCATGTGGCTGCCACGAAGCTTTATGACGTCGTCAGTCCTTTGAGGTACTGACTTAACCAGTTTGTAAATGTATCTCTGGCTACTAACCTTCCTACAAACGTCAGCATTTACTTTTTCCTCTGGATCACCAGATTGGTTCAACCTCAATATAATTCTGAATATTTTCCTACGCGCGGCCAGTTGCCATATGACTGACAGGTGAACAACACTTTCCACCACACAGTCTTCAGCAAATATCTCACGAGCTTAACAGCGATCACAATATACCATCAACACGATGATTAAGATACAAGACATGCCTCCAAATGACATGTTGGATCAAAAGGCAAATCTAAGGACTGTTAGGCCACAGTTAAGGAGTATGCTGTTGACTGTTTCTCCGGAAACCAGGATTTTGATGACTTGTTGCCATCTGAAAATGAAAACAAAGCGCTTAAGCTGTCACCCTTTTTCTACAATACAACAAAGTCTTCAACGTAGCGCATATTTCCATCACTTTAATGGACTATAAACCTATGAAAGTCGTGTTTTATGGAAGACACCATATGAGTAAATTGTACCATAAAAAATGAAAAAAAAAACATGGCGAGACCCCTTTTTTATTTTGTCGGTAGCCTCTCGAACGCAAACTTCATGACCTCGTTTAAGAGGACACACACAATGAGTGCGAGGTTATGAGTGTATTTATAAGGTATGAAAAGGCCAAGAAGCTGACTGAATAAACGAACAAGTATTGAACATTCATAGTCACAATGTGTGCAATCTACCTAGTCCAATCGTTAGTCTATTCTATCTGAAAATAAGGTTAGATGTGTCTACGAAGTAAATATATCAAATGTTTTAGGGTTGTGGAAATATTCATTATTACTTCTTCTTCACCATTAATTGATTGTCTTGTATTTCTTTCTTTATTTCATTTTATTATTTTATAAGCTCTTCCGTTTAGCCATGTTATTTTATGGCTAAAGCATGAAAATAAATGTGTAATGTTAGTCAACACATACACGTACAAATGAACTAAGAATGAACTAATCTTGAACTAAGTGGGTACTGTATGTGCTTATTACTGTTGAAACGGTAACTAAAATCTTTTTCGCGTCGACATAAGTTAAAGGTTAATGTTGCTTTCCAGGAAGAATCTTTGTATGAGCAACATAACTAGCGAAACAACACGTAATTTTATATGCCCTTCTGAGCCTATAGTAAAACCGGGATTAACCATTGTAGTCCCAATGAAGCGTTAACACTCTGTATGGTTTTTACAGGTACTACTGAGTCCCAAGGATGTCGCCGGAAATGGAGAAAAAACGTAAATATCCCACTATGTCTTTCCCGGTACATGTGTCCTGTCCCCGAGTGTGCTAGTGGTACCCAGTAAATGTGTCATCACTGGCCGTTAAACTAATGCAATATAAATCTATGAATATGGGTCGTGAAAAGTATACATTTTTTTCATTCTGATTGTTATCGTACAGATCTCCGATACAGAGAACAACTGAAACTAGCAAGTTTATATTACTGTCAAAATAAGAGAGAGACATGCATGGACCTGTTATATTTGCTTTTTTTAATTCACCTTGTATATAATCAAGGCAAACTAGATGCTGCTAAAAAATTTTAATTTAAAAGCACTTGTGATGGAATTATGAAAGGTCACACGACTTGGGCTGCACCGAGCATTTTAAAGGTTTGCGTTTGCAAAGGTGGGGTATGAATTCATTGCTCATTGCTTATAGTCCGATATGGTTTATTGTCCGATGGGTCATTATTTGAAACATGTTTGGATCCTATGGATATTATTGCAAGCACAGTAATGAACTGAAAAATAAGCGGTCAGTAAATATGAAAGTATCTTTATCATCATCACAGTAATACAAAACTTTATTAAGCTATAAATAAGACGCAACTCTAAATCTTCAGTGGATATACAGATATATACGTTAGTAAGTCCATGCCTTATAATGAGAGTTCCCAATACCACAACATATGTACACAATTCATCACAAACATGTAGGGTTCCATGATACTCCCTGTCCAGGTTCTTCTGAAATTCCACTTGTCACTGATGCATAGGACAGGAAATATAACAACACCCTCACATCTTCAGTTCCAAATCTTAAGTCCCCTTATTATGTACAAGAACTCGGTTTGTATACACATTATCTACAGGGTATCTATATGCATGCCACAGTGGCAGCAACTAATTGACATTCTAATTGATATGCAATAGTAAATAGGTGAGGGTTTCTACCTATCAGATTTTAGATATACATTTGTCTCAGGCATACCCACACAGAGAATGATAAATATTCATGCAAGGCCGAAACAAAGTGAATGATTATATTGTTGACTGATTATAATAACACAGTATGTAAGTGAATGCGTTTTCCACACGTCTTCAATGGACCTCAACAAACAGTTACACTTTACGCAATTGGTTTGATAATGCTTACAAAATTGGTCAATCCTTCATCATCACCACAATCATATTATTAAGTATGTCGCGTAAAATACATGGACCTGCACCTTTGAATACATCCGGGTGTTTCATTACAGGAAAAGAGAGAAAGTTTTACAAATATACTGCTCTCCATTATATGCCCTCACATTAAATATCATGTATACATTTTCCTTTTTCGATATTTTTGTCATCAAATATAAAAGTGCAAATGTCCCCAGTCTGTCTTGAAACTGCATATTTTGGATTACCAAATTTCATTATACATGTATATATATTGTTAAACCACATAAATTAAAATTAATGTTAATCCTACCATTAGAGTTAATATCGTCTTCGTTCCTTTAGTAACGCCCATTTTCAATAGTCTAAACTAAACCACTTTTCCCCGTACTTCTTTCGAATGAAACTATACCTCTCTTTGTGTACCTTGACGCATTCTCAGTCAGCAGCAAAGTCAGGAACCTCGGAATAGAAATAAAACAGACTTTTCACCGAATATTGAATTAAGTCGTTTAAGTCGTTTGGATACACTACTTTTTTCTGTTGTATGTGATGATGTATTCAGGATAGCACATTTTTTTGTCGAAAATAACAAACTCCCTGTACAATTTTTTGGGAATTTCTGCTATCACAGAGTCAAATTGTCTGGTGTGGTTGCATGAGACTCGCATGCAGCCTTTAACAGTACACGGAGGCCAAGGGAATTGTTTTATTTCACGTGTGAGATATGGTCGACCGAGGCAGGCTCGAACAAGGAACATTTTTAGTCCTTTTCTTCCGCGGCGGTATTTATCTGAAAAATACAAAACCGGTGTTACATAAAGTAAAGGTTTTAACATTTCATTTCAGAACGGAACTATTCAATTTTCTCTCCCTCGAGCTTCATACAAAATATACATATCATCTTATTATACCAAAGTCTCTTTAAGCTTGGCGCTCTAATGCTGTTGGCAGTTTCCTTAAAGACCAATGTAAATGTCAAAACGTTTATTCTATGATACGTAAGATCAGGATCAGATTCCCATCAGCCAAATTGCAACATTTTCTTATTCGACACGCTCAAAGGGCACGTCCCGTTTAAATAGTTTCGTCAATACATATTTCAGTTATACGTATGATGTATCATCATTACAAATTGCATTTTTGAATAACGATATGGTGTCACCTATTTGGCCATTTTTCTATTAAAGTTGTAGACAAATGGCGGTCTTACTTATTCTTCCATATTGGTCCGACTTCGAGGAATTTTCTGCAAGGTAAATGCCCTTTCCAAAAGCAGCAGTATCGCTTGCAACACTAATATCCAGCCCTTTGGCACATATTCCTTTAGCAGCATCTGTGCTCGTCCCGTGGAAAAAATAGTATTCATTCAGTTCACTTCGAAGACGCTCATTTAAGATTTCGGAAAGCTGGTACGTATAGGCGTGCATCCATGGCACTCTGTCCATGGGATTTCGTGCACATTTCCTGGATATGTCTTGTAATTTGCAAAAATATTGGCTCTTCACTCGGGGGTTCTCGACACGCAGTATCTTCGTTATCTCAAAATCAGTGTGATGTAGATCGCTATTGTCTCTTCCGCGGATAAGCATTTTTTCTTTAGCCCAAGACTCTCTCATCATATGACTGATCTCGTCCCAAATCTGGTCGGTGACGTCAACTGTCCATAAATTTTCTTCCTCCCCATGATGAGAAAAGGAAAATTCATTTTTTTTTTTTTTTTGCAAATATCTTTGTTCTTGTGAATAACTGATTTGAATCTTTCTTTTCAAAAATTGTTAATTTTCTACAAATTTTTAATTAAAAAAATTACTCAATTCAAACGCAGTGAAAAATAGCAATTAATTATGTAAAAGAGGTAAAACGCTTTGCCAATACGCTACTTATGTTTATGTAAACAGGGAGTGTCTACAGAGAATATAGTAGCTTAAGATGATAAAATTGTCGTTTTTTTACCTGCGTATTCCGCCAACATCTTTTGTCGTTTTCTGGCCATACGAAATATTCTGTAGACATCATATATTAGACCTATAAGGCAGGAGAACAGCAACGGTAACATGGCATACACCTTAATATACAACGAACTGATGTAACCAGGGTTGTCAAGGAAGTAAACCAGTATCACTGCCGACCAACCAAAACACCAGGCATCTGAGAATTCGGGAACAACTTTGAATAGTCTACCTGGAATAAAGAATCCATGGATAAATGATAATGCATTTTAATCAAATCCTACCAAATTTCATATAAAATTCATTTCACTTTTCAGCACATCAGCTCGAAGAAATGTAAACATGCTTTAATCGCCAGTACAAAAAAAAATGAAAGAAAAAAACGCTTGACTACAGGGCTGTTGTAGAAACAATAAATACCTTATTTTAACCTTATCCGTATACTTTGACAACTTACCATTGTTGGCGACATACAGGAACAGTATGATCGCATAAAGGAAAAAGGCACCAAAAACAAAAGCAAAGCCAACGGCCAATGGAAGGTCCATGTTTATAGCCTGCAGTATGATTGTATAGATGGCAGCACTTATCTGGTGGACAATACCGTTGTCGTATGGGGAACTTGATATCATCAAACCCGCTCCAACAAGCCACAATAAGCTAAAGATGACATATAGCAAACAGCAAATCAGCAAAAACTTTCTGTCTTTACACGGTTCTGATTCACTGCACTTGCAACATGCGCAGCAAAATGTGAAAAACACAATTGGTGCAGCAATCAGAATAAGGGTTGTATGAGGTGTGAAGAGAATAGTAAAACCAAAATCTGAATAGCCCCAACTGTCCCATATTCCGTCCAGCCAGAGTGCACCAAGAATCTTTGCCGCTGATCCAGCGGGAAATCCAGCAAGAAGTGTATACGAAAGATGAACGCGTTTTACATCTTGAAATGCAGCATCTTTGTCCTCGTTGTCCATCTTTTTCATGTACAACACACATAGGTGTATCGCTTGTGATACGTCATACAGAAGGAGCGGAATTAATGCATATCTTGCAGGAATCGCCAGCAATAGCCCCAAACATAAATTACAGACGCCTGCCCATTTGAACATATCCACCAAAAGAGGACGCTCTATACCCACGAGTATCTTTACAGACCACACGCACAAGTCTGCATCTTCTTCTATGTCCACTGATGTTTCGCTAGCCATGGAGTTCTCCCTCGTCAAGCCAGGTTGTATATCACTGTGTAACAGAAGAATTATCAATTTTATCCGATTGAAAAAAATCACAATAAAAATGAGAGTATTTAACTAGTATCTGCGATAGTGACAAATGTAAATATAGAGCACAATGTTTTGTACATGAGTAATACCCAATGGGTTAATGATTAACAGACCACACGTACAAGTATCCATCTTCATCTGTTTCCACTGATGTTCTGCTGGCCATGGAGTTCTCCCTCGTCAAACCAGGATGTATTTTACTGTGAAACAGAAGAATTATCAATTGTATCCGATTCAAGAAATTCACAATAAAAATGAGAGCATTTAATGACTAGTATTTGCGATAGTGACAAATATAAATGAAGTACGCAATGTTTTGTATTTAAAGCACATTTTATGAATGGCTTATCATAAGGAAACAGTATCCAATATCCAACTTCTTTTTCTACTTCTACTTTAAAAACAGAAACTAGTTATGGCTACTTACTTTTTTCTTTTCCTGTACGTTTGTAGGCAGACATGCGAGTAGAACAAACATTAGAGAAGATGCCGATACTGCAAAGGCAAAAATTATTCAAGGGCATGATGAATCTATTTTTCATATTCAATAGAAATTTAGAACACAAATTTATTTTCAAACAAAGATTTCTAATGATGTAAAATGGGCTAAAGTTTGTCTTAATTAAGCTAAAAGTACAAGTGATGTTAGGAATAAAAACATTGTAAACAACTCATAGAAATATAATTTATTCTGTTTTACCACAAAAACGGCAGTCAAAGTTATTATTCTGATATCTGACCTTGTCAACCGGCCTCATCGTGACCTCCATAGATGGCTATACGCTGTAATAATCTCTTAAGAGATTATTACAAAAAAACAAACTTTTTAGAAAAAAAACAGGGACTAACTTTGAATGTAGAAATGGATTCATTAACCATTGGAAAGTATGGGAAAATTGCTGTTTACTCCAGGAAAATTCATTTTTTGGCCAAAATGAACAGTTATTGTCCCTTTAATATACAGACTTAACATTAATATGGAATATTTTTTCCAAATCATTTTTCATCAGTTTTTTCCCATTTTGCTGACTGATAAATGAAAATAAAGATTAAAATCTTGTTTTAATAACTTTATATTATCTCTTTGATGTCATGGTTGCATCAGTTCATAGATTGAATTCGACAGTGAAGCAAACAGAAATACATTGCCTATTCTATGTCATACGACATCCATTAAAAGAGATATTTTGGATCTCCATATTTTCCAAATTATCGTCTGTAAAAGAGTTTCACGCTCTACTAAGGACCCTCATGTCTAGTCATAGCAACGGTCGCTGTTACGCTTGGCCTCTTCTGGCTGTTACCAGCGCTCTGAAGCGGCAAGGCATTCCTTGGGATAATTTTTTAGAGTTCAATCTGGAATAACATTCCAGAAATCGGTCAAAAAATGTCCAATTTGGTCCAGTTTTGCTGTAGGACATGTAGGCCGTTGATTAGGCGAGTAATGGCCTACCCACATATTGTCTATGTGGTTCAAATGTAGCAATTTTAATGACCAGGGCAGCTGCTCATTCTCATGGTTCTGTAAGTTATCTGCTATTAAAAGTGCTCTATGTGAACCGGCAAACTCACCGTGCAACCTTAAATTGTTCCTAAGGTGTCCCCTATCAAATGATAGTCAAGTGGTTCCCAGATTATTCCTTTATTTGATCTGGTTCGGATTTTCGTAGACGACTACCATTGGTGTTTTGGCAAATACTGACGCTGTCAATGACCCGATGTACTTTAGACGCGGCACATGCTTCGTCGTTCGCCTCTTCTGGATGTCTGTAAACTCTGTATTGACTAGTTGGGCCGTACAGGTGAAATCTGATCTCAATAAATAAAGCCACGCGGTTTCAGTGTTCTACCCAGAAACGGTCATGGCCCCCAATTCATTAGAGAAACAGACGACGATGTTTTGCTGTTTACAGTTGCTACCTCGGAGGTCGTCTGGTATTCTAAGCTGCTAAAACCAGTTTGGTGTTCGCTAAAGGCCTTGAAAAATGCATTTTGGTGGCAATTTACCCCTCATTCTGAACGGACTGGGTGGTTTTTGTTTAGTTGCAGCAACATATCCTGAAGGACAGTGAGTCCTGTACCCTTTGGTGAGATGTCGATACATTGGGCGTGGCTTATTTGTGGGTACTTAAGTCTGGGCATTACTCTATAAAACTGCGGGGACCGTTCCATTTGGCGCTATAATCTGTCTGGTAATGTCCGTCTTTTTCGCGCCATTCTGCCACAGATCAACAAATTTGTAAAGCACGACTTAGCTCATTTTACGCATTGCAAAACTGACCGCTTGCATGCACAATTTCAAATTCTTCTATGCAGTAGTTGCCGACATATGGATACTTTTTTGACAGAACCAAGATTTGACTAAGCCAAGCTTTGAGCAGCCCAAAGGAACACTGCCCAATTAAATCACTGCATATTACATAACGTATCAGCGCAACAGACATGGAAGTCAGTTAATTGGTAGCGAAACACCTGACTTCACACTTCTCCATTCACAAATCTTATATGAGATTGGAGTTTTTGAAAAAAATAACGCATTTTTACCTAGGCATACATGTACCTTCGAAACTGAAATATTCCATATTAAATGTCAAGTCTGTATTTTCTAGGGTGAGATGACAAGAAACCTCGGCCACGTTCCAAAACGAAAAAAGCTTTAAATGCAAATGGAGAATTCTTTGACAAGCTTAGACCCCATTTCCAGAGATTAGATCGATCTACTTTAGATCGACCTAACTCCCTGGGGGTTCATGCTAAATAGCTGTCAGCCGAACGGACACGAAAGATAATTACCCCCTTACAGCTTGTAGTAGGCGGGACGGACATTTAAGCCAGATTATCTGACAGTAATCTAGTGAGACTCCCCGCGGGGATAGATCGATCTAAAAGCTCTGAGTGTCTCCCCCTTAGATATCAAAACACTAGCAAAAATTAGACTAAGTGACCACGAACTAGCAATAGAAAGGGGCCGATACACAAACCCTAAAACTCCACTTGATGAGAGAAAATGTAAAGCTTGCAACTGTGTAGAGGATGAAAAACATTTCCTCACAGAATGCACAAGATACACTGTTGAGAGGCAACGAATGCATGATGAACTACTGAAAATCAGTGTAGTGGGTCTAGATGACAGTGATCAGATATTGTCAATTCTCCTTAATCCACCCTGTCATAAAAGTCTCAAAGTAATAGCAGAATTTGTAAAGACTGCTGTTAAAATACATAGTTCACCTGAGATCTAGTATATCACAGCCACTTATTGTCAACAATGCTGTGAATAGCTTAATTAATTAATATTATAGCATAATTTGCATTAACACATGTATAATTTAACATACTACATATGTAAACATATATAATTGTATATATATATATATTGTGTAAATATTGTAGTCTAGAGAGCCTGCAAATGTATTCACATCATTTAGTGCTCAAATAAACTTATTATTAATTAGAAATTAAAAAGGGGTAATCAAAATGTTATTTGAACCTGTTAACTAATTAACAACCTTTTATCCACTGCCAGCACGGTTAACCGATAGCAAGGTAACCAATGGCAATGAAAAATATTATTGACACAGCACTTATCAATGATCAATCTCACAAATCAATATGTTAGCATTTACATCGAAAAAGCTGGTCAAAAGTGAAAGTACGCAAGGTGTACATGTAGTGCGGTATTGCATATTTTGTACGTTTTAGAAGACAGTTTTGAACTATAAAACTTCTGATGTAATAGACAAAGATTTTGCTCTATAAAGTTTTTTTACGGATACTTAGTTAAAAGACATTCAGTGGTTTAACTGTGTCTGTAGAAAACGGCCATTTTGAAATGACGAAGTTTTAATAAGTTCAACCTTCTTGTCTACAAAGACAGGCTGTATACGACAGATACCACAAATATTATTATCAAATCTTATATAACAAGTCAATTACTCGATGAATATGTTGCATATCTCATAACCTGTGGAACAAGAACATTTTCTGACCAAAAAAGGCAGATCATTGATCACGGCGTTGCTACGAAACCCCAAATGCTGCTTTGTGTTCAGGAAATATAAATGCTCACTGTATGATAGCGTACCTGTAACTAATGACCCGATCAAAAAATAATGTGCACTTTACAGCTGGCAAAAATTATCGTCTCCGGAAATAAAAACAATTAGACAATATCACTGGGTTCTTACGAATATAAACAGTTAATTAATATCAAAAATTCATTTAAACGGTTTTACAATTAAAGTTAACCTACCTGACCAGTAGATAGTTGTGTAAGTTTCCAAAGAGTATTTGGAATAATTCTTTGGTGAATGGACGTCCCCGAGATCGGTTGCTGTGAAATAACTGCCAGTGGTAGTTTCACTACTCGACCATGTTGACAACGTCGTAATGTTGCCTACTAGGGTCCCGTTTGTCTCGTTTGTTGTTGAATTCGCCATGATGCAGTGTCGGTATATCAGGACGCAGAAGCTCGGTTTTGTCACATGCCCTAAATAACGGAGAGGTAGACGATCCTCCGCTTTACAGGGTTTACTAGCGTCGTGTTGCCTCGGTGACACCCCTCTGCAGTTGAGTTAGGACTATCAAAATTAATTTCGTCACGACGGCAGATATCGAAGATGATCACAGTGTGTTGACTGTTTCGCGTAGGTAAAGTCTACCTATACTTGTATCTAGTTTCCTTTACTGACTTGATTAATGTGTTTTGTTGGGCCACTGTTATCTCGCC